AACGCACAATTTAGGTAAAATGATGCAACAAAATGCTTTAAAATGTGTTGTCATGTTGAATTAACTCTTCTTTACTTGAATAAAAGTGTAAAATAGTGGTGCTTGTGATGTAAACAAACGCTCAGCTGACGAACCCGCTTTCGCAAACTTTTTTCTCAAAACCAGTTACAAATACAACGTCGCGTTCTTACGTGATCTTGTATTTTTGGTTCATGCTGGCACTTACATACAAACTAAGGGTGGGTAGCTCAGCAAATTTATAGGAGTTGACTCAATGACTCCAACTCACTTTAAGGAGTCAGCTCATTCAACTAACTCATTTGACTCTTTGTATGTTACACTCATTCGTATCCAAGGCGCATCAATTACAGGTGATAGCGATAGAAGCTATGCTTCTTCTTATGAGCACGCTTGTGTCAAATTATCGTCTGTTTTGCTTTATTTACATATCCGCGTATACATACACATACCCTGTATACCCTGCAAACTAATGCTCCCGAAATCTTTAAGAGTGTCGGAAATTTGTTACGATTCTTTTAGAAATCTATAAAGAAAAACATATGAAGCGGTCGACAAGAACTAGTAAAGAAATTTCTGTACGATTTCTTAAAGAAAATTCTTTAAAAAAATTGTTAAACCTTTCAGAATTCTATGAAATCCTGGTATTGCAGGGTATACATATACATACGAATATGAATAGATTTTGTACGATTGCTACAACCTGTAGTTGTTGAATCATGATTCGTATCGTAGACTCGTTTTGAGGCATAGATGCGGTATAGCAGCCGTTGAGATAAAACAAAACTTTAAAGTGGGTGTGGTCAGCTCCTTTCTACTGATTTGAAAGGTGTAATTTTTTTTGTGTGCAAATTAATAGGGCGGTGCTAGGGGGGGAGGTAAAGGTGGAATTTTCAATATTTTCAAAAGCTTATATTTCGAAACCTATTGTACCGAATTTCAAAATGTGGATATGGTTGGAAAGGCAATTGATTTGATATGCACATCTTTATATATCTTACATACATACATATTTCGAGAAAAACTAAAAAAAAAAACGAAATTATAAGAATTTGTGAGATTTGACATAACATCCGCAATACAAAATACATGTGGTTGTTGTTGTTATATTCTTGCCACCACCTTGTATAAATTCGCCTCGTTCAAAAACAAAATGCAAGACTTTGCCATGCTAAACACTGTGGCGAAGCGAGAGAGTTATATGGACAAATATGAGCCACTATGATTCAATTGATTCATGTGAGCCCTACGGCATCAACTGAGTTACTGAGTTAAATTTTTTTTGGACAGGGAGTCTGAGTTACCGATTCACTTATAGGAATCAACTCAATAACTCAACTCTGAGTTGAGTTACCCACCTCTAATACAAACTTCTGAAAATTGACAAATGTACGATCGAGAACTGTCAGAATCTCGATTTCTTTCGTTTTGTGCATGATAAAAACATTACAAGGTAAATTCATTCTCTCAATTCGGCGGCCATGATTTTGTTCTGACGTTTGCCAACATTTTAAAATCATATAAAATTGAAAATAAATAAATTAAATTGTTCACAATTGTTGTTGTTTGAGATTGAAAATGAGAATGTGTGTGTGAGTTTGAGTTTTGATTTTAAAATTATATTGTTGGCAAACGTCAGACTGCCTCTCAATGGTTTTACCTTGTTATGTTTTTATCATGGTTCATCCTATTTGCTGAGTCTGCTTGTTGACGTCGATTTTCCGAGAAAATTTGCTGATTACCAGAACAAATTGCAATTAAAAAAGAAAATATTCAGTTATTATTACTTTCTATACAGTGTGTTTGGAAAACTTGCAGCTCAAGTAGCGCTGGTGAAAATAAATAACGTAATGTTGGGGAGAAAATTGCTGTTGGTGTTGAAGGCGGTGCTGTTGGTATCAGTGCTTGCACCAGCGACGCAGGCAAAATCTGATCCTGGTAAAACTACTAAAACCCTAACGCCGGTAGGTGTATAAAGATATCCAAACAAATTCAGAATCATACATTAGTTATAGTTATATACTTCAACATGAGAATATTTGTATATTTTCCTCTACCTATAGAACGCTAATGTGGCAAGAGAACAACGGCCGCTGTTAGCTAGTTCGAAAATTAAAGTGCATAGTAAGTGGCAAATTTTAAGAAAAAATTTTGAATCTTTTTATAAATAACCTTTTCTTTATAGTTGAGTGCGACACTCATGAGCAGCTGGATGTTGTTGTTACTTGGACGCTCTTTGAGCGCCAATGCTGGTATGACAAGCGCTTGGTGAGTATGTGGTACCCAAAAGAATTGGACATACATATATATATATGTATATATATATAAAATCCTCTATTGATATTTACAGCCCGAAAGTCTATACAATGCTTATGAACAGCAATTACTTTTGCAAAACAAATCTGATTCCGGTTTCATTGCCATGGATACGAAAAACTCCATTTGTCCAATGCACCCAATTTTGCTACCCGAAAGGCCATGGCCTGTAAGCGATGCAAATGTTGCAGCAGCGTCAGGAGTAGCGGAAGACGCTGCAAAGTCATCAGGCACGGCAGCAGCACAGACGTCGGGCAAGACGCAGACGAATACACTCAAACACCCAACAGTAGTAAATTTGAATATGTAGAGTTAATTTAGTTTCAATTTATTTTAATATGTTTTTATCAACAATGTATGTAGAAAGCATAAAACTTTTGTAGCTGATAAGATCTTGTTTTGAGTGAGTGATATTTAAAAATTGGCTTCTGTTATATGTATATAGTTCATTGTATTCGACTCTTAATGAAAGGGGTAAATACGTAAAAATTAATGTATGTACTTATACACATATTAGGTGCGGAATTTGTGAGTCATATCATAAACTTCGCCATAAAAATTCGGTAAGAGGAAGTGGTAGGGAGAATGCTGATAAGAAATGCCTTTTGTTTAAATTTAATGAAGTGTTAAAATTATTGTTAGACTGACAAATGCAAAATTACTTAGTATGTTGGCTCGTAATCGTATGCACATACTATATATGCGTTTGAATGTCATGTGGCCCATAGTGAACTTTCTTAACTTTTCTAACTTCTTCTTTTTCACGTATGTATTTAAACGAATTTACACCCTTAATTGTTTGCTAATAACCATAGCCTCTTTCTGCTTAACAAGCTTAAATGCGCGATGCCAAATTGCATCAAAACTTGAAAAATCGTTATAGAAATGTTTGAATGTTAATAAAATTGAGCTTCTTTCTGCACTCCTTAAAATTGGAGGAAATCTTTGTGTTTGCGGAATTGTCTACATTTACATGTATATGTGAAAGAACAGAAGACAATTCGGAAAAAATGCACCCAAGGCCCGATTTTACTTTTATGCCAACCTCAAACTCTTCTCATAAAAAGTGTTTAATATTTATAAAAACAGAAGACAATTTTGAAGAAATGCATTCAAGAAAATGTTTTAGTTTTATGCCAATCTCAAACTTTTCCTTATTTGGTACAGCCAAAATATTTAATATTTATTAAAAGTACTCTTTTCTCCTTCTAGCCATATGCAAAAACCATCATCACCATTGGCCGAGATGGCATCTACGATTTGACATTGAAAATTGAAGCAATCAAAGCAACTGACTCCTCAGATTATAGCGCGCTTGTGCAAGTTGATATTGTTGGTCCCGATGGCGGTTACCTCTCAGCCATTGATCATCCATTGTTGGCGGTAAGCGTCGTCATTTATTACAAATCGCATAAGAGTTTATCTACTTTCTCTCCCTTTCCACATCACCAGTTCTATGGTATCATGTGCGTGGTCTATGTTATTTTCGGCATTATCTGGCTCTTTGTATCGTTTACGCAATGGCGCGATCTCTTGCGTATACAATTTTGGATTGGTGGCGTCATACTGCTCGGCATGTTAGAGAAGGCGTTCTTCTATGCGCAATACTATAGCTTAAATACCACAGGTGTACCTGTGCAGGGCGCCGAATTGGTAGCAGAATTTGTTTCTTGTGCCAAACGTACTTTGGCTCGTATGCTTGTGATTATCATGAGTCTGGGTTTCGGTATTGTCAAGTAAGTATTTGCACATATGCTTCAGTTGTTATGTAGTTAAAAAACAATCAACAAGCAGTTGTGTAAATAAAATGCAGGAACCATTTGTTTAAATATACATATACATACGTACTATGTACATAAGGGTGAGAGGGCAATGACCAGACTAAGGAAAAAAACAACAACATATAAACTTTTTGTAAACTCTTAATATTCCTCTATATTGTTATTTTCTTAGACCACGCTTGGGCCCAATGCTACATCGCGTTGTCGGTGTTGGCGCGCTTTATTTTGTGCTGGCCTGTGTTGAAAGCTATTTGCGCGTGACGAGCACAAAAACTGATGAGCAGCTGGTGGCTGCCATACCGTTGGCTGTGCTGGACACAGGCATATGCTGGTGGATATTCACTTCGCTGGTACAGACTACCAGAACGTTGCGCTTGAGAAGGTGGGCTAATGTTTCCGAATAAAAATTTACAATGAAATTGTAAAATTTTTCTCATGTCTCTCTTTGATTTTTTTTAAATTAATTTTTCAGAAATATGGTTAAACTCTCGCTGTATAGACACTTCACAAACACACTGATATTCGCTGTGATTGCATCAGTGATGTTTATGTTGTATGCCTTGCATGTCCGCAAGACACAGAACTGTACACCGGTGAGTGCATTTGAAATTAGAAGAAAGCGCTTAGAAAATGTATGCATTTCTGGAATTTGTTTTACAGATATGGCGCAATATTTGGATAGATACTGCCTTCTGGCATGTGCTCTTCTCGGTGTTATTGCTGGTGATTATGATTTTGTGGCGTCCAACAAATAATAATCAACGTTATGCATTTACACCGTTACTTGATGCGCCAGAAGATGAGGATGACGATGGTAAGTGAATAGTGTGGTACATTTTAGATTAATTGAAGTGGAGTTGTTCTCATAAGAATAGTCGAAATAAATATGCTTTTAGCTATCGACTGAACATAAAATATTGAAAGAGATCAACTAGTGAAGTTAGTCGCACAAAAAAGCAAAAATTATGAGATTATCAGGGTGGTCAAAAACTCGGAGTTCGAGCGAGCGAGTGAGCAAACTCCTACTCAATGCCTCGCAGACAACGAGGCGCTCGCAGCCCGTACTCGTAGCAGCAATGAGGCGAGGAACGAGAAGTTTGGCTCGCTCGCCAAACGAGCGAGCGCTCCTTGTTTGCTCGCGCTCCTATTAAATGAGCGAGGCTGTTAGGTGTTGCCTCGCTCGCAGTGCGAGGCGAGTAGCTGTCAGCATACTCACTCTGCTAGGAAAGACGAGTGAGCGACGAGCGAGCGCTCCGGTCAATAGATTATGTACGAAAGTATGTTAATAATTGTATGTACATATCAGAGCTGTGTAATGATTGAATCAATTGAGTGTGCATTCTCATTTTTTTCGTTTCAAAAATGTGATTGTTTGATTTAAAAAATTTAACAACCACTCTTGAGATTGGTTACAAATTGTAAACACAAAATATGTAGTGTGTTATGGAATGGTTGACACCCATTCACATAGAGAATGTGAATGCAAAAAAAGAACTCAATCATGTATGATTGGACGTTTATGGGAATGCAATCTGTCAATATCATTCAGTACTAATACTATTTGTTGTATCAGGGTTGAAATTTTTGTACTCAAAATGTGAAACCAGAAGATTGCCATCTCCCTCAAAATAAGTAAACAAATAAATATTTGGTGCTAAAATATTTTTCTAAGTGTTTGGCCGAACTTCTGCTCAAACTTGAGGCATGAGTTCTGATTTTATAAGAAGAGTTTTCAATGCAGAAATATACTCGAAGGTTTGCCATTGCGTGCCGAAGGACGACTGCTATTTTGGGTTATGATCTGACCAGGTATTTAACCATGGTCCTATGGAGTGGAAGTACGCACATGTAATCACTCTGCTACGGCGGCCGCCGTAAGTACATGCTATACATATCGTCGTTTAAAGTACAAAACCGCGTATCAAGAAAATGCAAAACTGCGTAATTGCATAAATTATTTTCTAGAGAGTAAAGTCACCCATATTTCAAAATGGTTATCTTTTTTATAAAGCAAACGTATTTCTGGCTAGTATATTTCAGGACGAATGGATAAGAATTGAGCCAAGAGCTTTTGTGAGCAAATCCAATTTTTGGAAGCCAATGTCAGTCACACGGTTTTGAAGAATGACGATACGCGGTTTTGTACTTTAAACGACGATATATATGTACACATATTAGATTATTTATTCTCAAAATGCATGAAAACTATAGTATGCTTGCAAACAATTAATAACATTTTGTGATAAACAGTTTTACAAATGTATTTGCACTTCAAATTTGTATTTTAATAAAGTATTAATTAAATAAATTATTATTGTAAATTATTATTTTAATAAATAGATATAAAGATATTTATACTTGGCAACTCTTGGACTTTTCTTCATTTGTAACAAATGACAGATGTATACAAAATAAAAAAATAATTGTATTTTTCAAATTTAAAGCAAACGGGCGTTCTTTACAAAAAAATGTAGTTAGGGATCGAATTGCGCATATTTTTTTTACAATATCAAGTGCACACAAGAAGTGTTAAACCCATAAATAGCTTAAAAAACGCTTTCGAAAATTCGAAACGAGAGTGAAGTGCAGTGTTCAATTATGATCGAAATTGCAGGCAAAATTTGTGCGTATGTAATTAATGTTTTACTTATTTGAAGAAATGTTGCCCCTTGTCATTAAAAATAAGCAAACCAAGACCCCCGCGTCCCACTGGTTACATAATACTTGAATAGCCCCTTAATTAACATGTGTTTGTTTTGAGAACGCACGGCCAGTTAAACAGGCATGTCTGAATCGATTTCCTTCATCATTCTTAGCTATTTGGTGTGCATTTTTATTGTTATGTGTTGCAAACAGACATTTTAGGAACTAAATGGGTTCTAATCTATGTACTCAAGCGCACTTATTTTTAACAGTTTCCAGTTTATGTAATATTAATCAAAACAGCTTTTATTTATTTTATGTATTATGTGATTTCTGGAAGCGTTGAATACAAAAAAGGGCTGTGACTGGGTTTATGTAATTTGAAATTGTGTTGATGATTACTAATAATAATAGAAAGGCGCTTACATATCGACACAACTAAAAATTTCATATATTTCAGTAGAGCCAATTAAAGATTTTTTGTTTCGTAATTTAGCAATAATATGTCTTGGAACGTAATTATTCCGGATTATATGCAGTCATACTGTAAGCTTTCAAATTATGTATTTTTCTAAACCTGAAATTTTGAATTGCGCCGTTATTGTAGAGGACCATCGACATATGTTAGTGTTTGGCCGAGCTACTCCTCCGATTGTGGCATGCGCCTTGATGTTGTCGCACAAAGGGAAGGGACCTACAGTTTTACGCCGACTCCTGCCGGGGGCCGACCACTATTAAAAAACACATTTT